CTTGAATGTCCCTGCCCTGAGCTGCTCTCCCTTCCCCCAGTGGAACTGTACTCTGTGGGAATATCGAGGACTTGCACAAGGGCTCACCCTCTCTGCATCTCCTCCTGTCTTTGCTCTGTGTTCTCTGCTCTCAATATTTTAGATCAGCGACTCTTTAACTGATTTTTGAACTGATTTCTCTGCAGTTCAGCTGCAATCTGCTCTAAGGTTGGGAGCAAGTGGATGGAGCTTCCAGCTACTCTGCAACAATCTTTTGTTATCAGGAAAACATTTAAAAATGTTCTCACCTATTAGGAGATCAGAATACAATGTGAAAATAGCACATTTTATATTCCTTTATTTAGAGGCTGCTTATGCATACATTCTAACCACTGTACCACATTCATTGTCACTGAGTTCTGTAAGAACTGTCATCTCATTTCATTTACTTTTGAGTTCAAATTTCTCAAAACAGTGTATTGTATATTAGTGCACACTAAATAAATGCTATTAGAGCTGATATTACTGGTTGAAAAATAAAACCAGTTTCCTAAAGACATTATTATTGCAGAATTATATTAGCTATAGCTTAAGATTTCTGCACTCTTTTAGAGTGCAGAAGCAGCAAATAATAGGGAAATTTAAGTCTGATTAGAATAGCAGGACAAACAAACATAAAGGAAATGGCCTGAGAGGGAGGGGTCAAACTGGTTGGAGATCATTGTAATTGTGGACATACTGAAGACATAAATCTGGTATTAAAAAATATATATCCCTGGCCTGGCTGGTGTGGCTCAGCAGTTGAGTGTCGACCCAGGAATCGAGAGACTGCTGTTTTGATTCCCGGTCAGGGCACAATCTCAGGTTGTGGACTCGATCTCCAGTAGAGGGCATGCAGAAATTCAGAAGGCAGCCAATTGATGGGGTTCTCTCCTCTCTTCTCTCCCTTTCTCTCTCTCTCTCTCTCTCTCTCTCTCTCTCTCTCTCTCTCTCTCTCTCTCTCTCTCTCTCTCTCTCTCTCTTCTCTCTTCTCTCTCCCTCCCTTCTTCTCTCTCTGGTAATCAATAAAAGAATATATAAAATATATATATGCCTGAATGGTAAGGTGATAGAGTGCCAGTGGTGTTTGCACTAGAGGATAATGAAGCAAACAGAGAAGGACTAGAGGAAAAGGGAGGTCGAGGGAGAGCTTAGCTCACCCCTGATGATAGTTCACCCCATAGTTCACCATCATAGAGAGATAATGAATACAAGTGCCCTCTTTTACATTGAGTGTAAAATTGCTGCAGTAAATATGATCTTCAGTGGCCCAGTAGTTGAATCTAGAGAACTGAGTACTATAATGACTCTTAGAGCAAAACTCAGAGTAAAACTCATCAGCTCAATTAAATGACCCTGGTTGGTCTTATTGGGTTGAAGAGCAAACATTTTTAGGACAACCAAAAACAAGACAAGGAAATATGGAGTATTCTTGATGCTTCATTTAATGAAAATGTCTCCATTTACTGTGGAAGTCCATGAAAAGTACTGTTTGCCTAAGATTAGCGGATTCTAGATAAATGAAAGAGTTTGATATTAGATGGATTTTGGGCTTTAGGCTTTTAAAAGTATCTTAGTTGTGTAAGCAACTTTTTCATGTTAAACTGGTGTTTTTGAGTTTGCTAAAGGGTTCTGGAAAAGAGAATAATTTTATAGGCGAAATGTAAATGTAGATTGCACTGAAAAGACATAAAAATAAGATTCTCAAATTTTTGTTTTTCCTTCCTTAAAAACCTTCATGGGCTCATTTGTATTATGCTAAATACTAGAATTTGGGGCAGATTTTAAAATTATATGTATTGCTCTTGATATGCTACTAAATGTGACAAGTGTCACAGGATATAAGAATTCTTCCCTCTGTAGGCCTGGCCCTTTAAATTGAACATTTATCTTATATTTCCATTAAATTACCTTTCTGCAGAAAACTTAAAAACATTTTCAAAATAAAAATTGATTTTGTTCACATCATTTATTGTCAATGAACTTAATACCTGACACCACAATTTTTAAGTACTATCTCTTTCACTAAGGAAAAGTAAGTTACTTAGTACTCTTACTTCTCTGTCATTTGAACCTTTATAATACTTTACACTGAACATTTTGACACTCAAACCTGAAACAGAAATTAAAAAAGAAAACAAAATTCTGATATAATACACCAGAGGGCGCTGTATTCTAGCTCTTAGTCTAAAGTCTGCATTTCCGTTCACAGATGTGAGCGTGCTTGTGGAATGCTAGGCAGAAGGCACAGTTCTTGCTCTATCTTGTGGAAGCTCTCCATCCAGGTAACGAGTCTGGATTTTAAAAAAACCATTTTCATAAGGTTAAGTATTTAGAAGGCTATATATTTCGTTATTTAAACATTTTAGAACTCTTTAAAAATTGCCTTTAAAGTCTGTGCTATGTTCTTGTTTTATGTTCTCAATGGAAACATAGCTTTTGTCCTTTGAAAATAAATGTAATTTTTAGAGACAATCTAAAGTTATTTGGCACTATAGAGATAAATTAGGTAGGTTATCAAACCAAGCAGTGCTGGTTATAGTTTTCATTTTTTAAATTAAATTCTTAATTTGCTAGCCTTGTATAACACAGTAGAGAATAGTATCTAATTGGGTATGCCTTGTGTAGACTCTAACCTATCTGAGAACCATCATTAACACTTTTTCCTGGCCACCCCTCTGCAAGTCCTAGTATATCTATAACATATAATTCATAATAATAAATACTCATGAAATCACCTCCCAGCTATAAAACTACAGCATTGATAGTAACTTAAATTTGCCAGAGTTTTTCTGTCCTATCAAGTCCTTAGGTAACCAGTGTTCATTATTTGTTTGATTTCTTTTTATATGTATATTTATCACATAATTACGTGTTCCTAAAAATTATGTTGTAGCTTTAACTGTTGTGACTTTATAAAAAGAGTATTCATGCTATATTTGATCTTTTGGACTGTTTTTTGTTTTTTTTTTTACCTTGGTATTACAGTAAACCCTCGATTTTGCGGACCTCAGTTTAACAAACTTCAGATTTAATGAACAAAATTTCTGACTCATATGTCATATATGAAAATTAACACCCTGTTAATTTTAAAATGCTTTTAACCAAGATTTGCTTACAATTAAATTAACAGGTTGGTTTTTGTTATTGATTCACTGTTATCTTTAACAAATTTTAACAAATAGGCCATATCTTGGAAAAAAACACTAGAAATTTTGCCAACATAAATAAATATTGCATATCTACAGCGATAGTCTATATATTTAAATCCAACAGTCACAGCTCAAAAACAATGTTCATTGAACGATTAGCACGTAATCGTCATGGGTGGTAATTAGTTCTGTTGTAGCATGGCGTAACTTTATACAGCAGTTTTAACGTGTGCCAGCTGATGTTCCGACGTGCTAAGCCATGCCCAGCTGTGTGCATTTGTTTACTAGTGCTGACTGGTGAATGCATGCATTTACTAGACCTACTCAGCATAAATTTAAAATTACTATACTACATACAGAAAACTTTTCTGTGGAATTAAACTTTAAATGCATAGTTAATTTTAATTACACAAATTTGTCTACATAAGAAAGACAGGTAGCCCTGACCAGTTTGGCTCAGTGGATAGAGCATCGGCCTGCAGACTCAAGGGCCCCGGATTCGATTCCGGTCAAGGGCATGTACCTTGGTTGCGGGCACATACCCAACAGGGAGTGTGCAGGAGGCAGCTGATTGATGTTTCTCTCTCATCGATGTTTCTGACTATCCTCCTTTCCTCTCTGTGGAAAATCAGTAAAATATATTTTTTTAAAAAAAGAAGAAGAAGAAGAAAAATAAACTAACTAATTTGTCAACTTTTTGACATATGCATTCAGCAAACCTACTTTATTATATAATGGACACCCCTTCGCCCGAAATGACCCTTTATATCGAGATTTTACTGAATATTGCTGTGATTCATCCATTTTGTCGTTAGCTGAGGATTATTTATTTTGAGTGCTATGTAATATTCCATTCTATAACCACAATTTATTTGTCCATCTCACTGTTGATGGGCACTTGAGTTGTTCCAGGTTTTGCTCTGACAAATAGTGATATCATGAACATTCTTATACCTATGTCCTAGTATACAACTGCAGCCACTTCTCACCAGTAGTAAAGTAAGTTCAATTAATTTCATTTTCCTCTAACATATCTACACTAAGCGGAAGGCAGATGATCTCTTGTGTAGACTCTAACCTATCTGAGAACCATCATTAACACTTGATGAAGAATGAAGTCATTCTACTGGAGTTTTCTACACTCCAAAGGGATTTAAGCAAAAATTCACGAAGGATATTTTCAAAATGATGAATTCAATTTATTTATTTCTTACTGACAGACTAAACTCTAGGGAGCCATAATTATTTCTGGTCCTTTGAACATTTGTATGGTTATTTCACGTTGGCACCTGTTGCCAATATAACCAAGAAATAAGAATTTAGTATACAATGATGTGTAGAAATAAGTAGCTATCAGGCGCATATGGCTACATGAGGCTGACTGTCTTGGTTTCCTGAGATACTTCAGGTTAGGATAGAACTCTTTCTCTTGCAAGTATGCCTTTTTATGCAATCATACTGAAATCTAGAATATTACATATTTTCTTAGGCTGCCATTATTCATTAACTTAGAAGATCTACCACTTATATAGAATGTGGGCATGTGGGAATATAAAGACCAGTGAATTCTGTTCTATTCATGCAAGCAGCTCACACTCTAACCAATTTGACAAACCTAAGGATATTGCTGAAATTCTCCACAACCTTAACTCAAAAGAAGCCTCCAATTTATTCAGTTAATACCTATTCAGTATGTATGGTGTCCAGCATTGTACAAACCTCTATTCTTTTACCATAAATACAGATTAAGGTGTGTTTTTTCCTAAGCAAAAGTCTAGTTTTAGAATCATTAAAAATGCAGTCTGGAGTAACTTGAATTTACATGTTTATTTACTCTATGTATTTAGGACTAAGAAATATTAAGGAAAAGCCACCACCCCAGATATAGGTTACCAAAAGTTCAGAGAGCCATGAGAAATTAGTTGACATAAAAAAACCATGAAATTGGCAGTGAGTTGAAATCAAAATACTGTGTTCTTCCTTGCACTTAACATGTTTCTATTTGAACATCAATTTTCTTGGAAAGCAGGATGTGCGTTCAGGTTCTAGGAAGATGGCTCTCTATCTTGATGATCTGGTCATCTGCCTTCCGCTTATAGGTACACGGTGGGGTCACTCAGGTCACAGTTTTCAATGTGTATGTGGGATTGTATGCCAGGATAAACTTTCTGCAAGGGCAACAGAGTTCCCAGTTTTTCTCCTTTCTTGATAGAACCTTTATATTTAATTGGCTTAATGTAGAACATTTTAATACAGAAACCTAAAAGAAGAAGTAAAATTATTCATTATCTGGGTTTTAATAGCCTAGAATCAGAAATTTTAAAAAATAACAGAAATAACCCACACACACAAAACATAAAAAGAAAAGAGAGTTGATTGAACTCAATGGGGGAGTAGAAGGAAATGACAAAATCATATCAGAAATAAAGACAAAAATTGCAAGATGTCCAAGAAAGAATAAATTGAAATGACAATGTAATAAAAGCATTAAACAATAGCAGAAAAACACTAGATAACTGAGAATATTGACCTGGAATAATGTTAACTCTAAGGCATATTCTAACTAAACTATTAGACTTTAAAGACAAGGAAAAATGGAAAGAACTGGCACAAGAATACAAATCTTTCTAAATACCAAAAGAAAAAAATTTAAAGACTCACCATATAGAGAAATTGAGTTAATATAATACCATAATTATAATGTAGTATGACAATGTTATATCTATAAATGTTAACTCATCTATTAAACATAATTTTCTATTGACTTGGAGAGGAAAACCCTACTCTTTGCTGTATAGAAAAACAATAATTGTAAAAGGCTAAAAGTTAAGGAATGGACAGATATTTGCCAAGTAAATGGAAGCAAAAAGAAAAGCAAGGGTTATGATCATGTTATGAGAGTGGAATTCAGGCCAAAAGCATTGAAACAAGACAAAGGGGGACAATTTATAATGCTAAATCCAATGATGACGCAATAGTGACAACTGTCCGTGTGCTAAATAACACAGAAACCATCTGTATAAAACAGACTTCAGGAAATGCAAGGAGGAATAAATGGAAACCCACTAGTAATAGAAGACTTCAACACATTTATATCATTAAAAACAAGTCAAGTGGACAGAAAACATCAGTAAGGCTATAGAATTATGCCATACAACATGATAGCCACTAGCCACATGTGGGTAGTTAGCATTTGAAATGCAGTTAATCTGAATTAGTTGTGCTCTAAGTACAAGGTACATACTGGATTTTGAAGCTGGTACCCCCCAAAAGGTAAAATATTAATAATATTTATATTAATTGCATTTTGAAATAAAAGTATTCTGGAGATACTGGGTTAAATAGAGTATATTATTAAATTAATTTCACCTCTTAATTTTTACTTTATGTGACTCCTAGAAAATTTAAATTTAAATTTTACTTAGGTGTTTTTTATTATATTCCTTTTGGATAGTACTGCCATAGAAGATCTAGACAAAATCAATAAGGTGTGTCTTATGTATATATGGATACTGGAGGTCTGGTGCACAAAATTCGTGCACGGGGGGGGGGGAGGTCCCTCAGCCCGGCCTGTGCCCCTCGCAGTCCTGGCTGAATGGCACTCCCCCTGTGGTAGCGCACTGACCACCAGGGGCAGCTCCTGCGTTGAGCACCTGCCCCCTGGTGGTCAGTGCACATCATAGCGGCTGGTCATTCTGGTTGTTCCACTGTAATGGTTGCTTAGGCTTTTATTATATAGATGTGCAAGACCTCCACACTGAGAACCCATACAACAACTGCTAATACCGCAATGCAAGAAGACCTAAATACATGGAGGATATAACATGTTCCTTGATTGGAGGATTAATCACTTTCAAGATAGAAGTTCTTCTCAATATAACCTATATAATCAGTGAAAATCCAATCAAAGTCCCAGAGGCTTTTAGTGGAAATTGACAAACTGATTTTACAATTTGGAAATGCAAATTACCAAGAATTGCCAAGACAGCCTGAAAGAAGAACAGAGTTGGAAGATTTATGCTATGAGATATCATTATGTATTTTAAAGCTATAGCAGTTAATTCAGTGTATTATTTGTGGAAGATTGACAAATGACTGATGAAATACAATAGAAAGACCCACAGAAACTGACCCTGATTTATGACAAAAGATCTTGAAGTGTAGTAGGGGGAAAAAAATGATCATATCAAACTAATGGCTGAGTTAATTAGATATCAATATGGAGAAAAATCTTGATCCCTAACTCATTCCTTACACAGTCCCAGATGAATTATAAACCTAAATATGAAATATGAAGTTTATAGATGAAAACATAGGGAGACTATCTTAATGATTTCAGGGTAGGAAAATGTATCTTAAATAGGTAAAAAATGTTAACAATAAAGGAAAATAATACTAAATTGGGCTGCATTAAAAACATGAATTTTTATTTATTGAAAGAAGCAATAAGAAAGTGAAAAACAACCCATAAAGTGGGAGAGGATATTTGCAATACATATATCTGGCAAAGGACTTGTATCCAGAATATACAAAAAACTCCTACAGACCAATAAGGAAAAGACAATTAAGAAAGACAGGGAAAAATACTTGAATAGGCACTTCACAAAAGGCAATATTGATGTTATCAATAAATATGAAAAATGCTCAATTTTATTAGCCATTAGGAAAATGCAAATTAAAGCTAAATAAGATATCACTACATACTCGTCGGGATGGCTGAAATGAGAAAGGTAGATAAATAACACCAAGTATTGTATGTGAAGCCACTTGAACTTTCATATACCCTTGTTTGGAGTGCAAGTTGGTACTACTTTGGGAAACTGTGCCAGTATCTACGAAAGCTGAAGATACACATATACCAAGTGACCCAGCACTTCCTCTACCACAGCATCCTGCCAGTTGCTGAGTATATTAATTCTAATTATGTAACTGGGGAAATTACCCCAGGGTGGATTTGTGGATGCACTGGGCCCATTATAAAATGGACCCTAGTGAAAAGTACATTGATTATCTGACCTTACAAGCCCCTAGTCTGACTGATGAACCACAGTGGCCTTTTGAGTCTCTAAAGAATTAGTATCAATTTTAAGTAAGAGTCCAATAATCTCTGAAAAGCCTAATTATTTCTTCTTCCCCAATGTACATTCTGCTAAATGGCCACAGGTCCCTTTGGGAATGGTTAGAAGTAAGGTTTACAGTATAAATTGTTGGCTGTGTGACAGAGACCTTCCCCAAAGAAACTCA